GAGTATGAAGGATGGTTACGAGTTCTGATGATATTGGAGACAGCGACATTGGGACTGTAGGTTGAGGACTACTCTGGGGATCTGATTTCATCTTCCTCTGAAGATGTACTTGACATTGTGAGATCGATATCTGAAACATTGTGAGACACTGTATTCGCGACATTTCGGATTTTTGCTACCTCTGACATTTCAAGATACTACCTTTGGAAACATTAAGTTGATGTCATCTTCCCTCTCCTCCTCTCTTCGTCTCTCCTCCCTCCATTCATCCGTGTATGATCTCAGACCCTGGCCTTTCTTCTATGTCCAAGGCCAGGGCTTTCACACCACTGATGCATGATTGAGAGTGTTCGATTGCAGGCTGAGTCAGGTCAGAGTCAGTCCATGGGTATAAACTCTTCCGCTGTATTTGTATTGACTCTGTATTATCTGGTCGGTTCTGGGAATCTGCGCCATACTTATGACTGTGTTTCACGAGTATGCAACAGTTTGGTATCGGAGCAGACCAGCATTGGATGACTCACCATTGATTGATTGATTGATTATTCGCACCTGTACTCTGTTATGATTAAATTGCAAGTTGCAATTTTTTTTTTCTTCGTACTTACTGTGAGGAACAGGCCCTCAAGTGGCCCTTTCAGACATCACATTGTTCTGGGCCAAGGCCCCAGCAAGCCAAGTGCCCGCCCTAAATGAAGGCGGGCCTGAATATTCGTCACAGGCCAAATTCGACATTTCCATATGTGGGTATTCAGGCTCTTGCAGCGCGTCAGTTGGTTGAATGAACGCGCGAGCCTCACTAAGCTGCGCCGTACAGTTGGCCCAGGCCACGAAAGTTGTGCCTGGGCACCTACACACAAAGCAGGGCCGATACATTGAGAAGCAGGCCGTCGGCCTCTGGAAAAGCAGTACAGCCGACGCACCTACCTGGGGGCCCTGCGCAGATGCAGCTAACAGCCCAAGTCCGGAGACTCAGGCTGCGCCCAACTGTAAAGGGCCCAGGCCCTCAACTGTAAGTCTCGGCCTGGGCACCGGGTCTGAGGCCCAACCGGAAGCTACTGGAAGCTTCCAGCCAGGCCACGCGCAGCATGCAGCAGGCTGCCACTTCCATAAAGGAAGTGAGGCAGCCCAGGCCAGGCATTCTGGCCAGCGCTGGCAATGCGGAAGTGCTGCTGCGCTCTCGCTTGATGCTGCGCTGCTGCCAAGGGCGCTGACGGGGCGCGAGAGGTGAAGTGGGGCGCTGCAGGGCAGTGGGGCGCAGGCAGCCATAGCCGGGCTGCTAGGCGCCAGGGGGTACAGCGAATGATCGGGTGGTCTTCAGGGAGTGAGGCACTGTGTGGGATAATCAAGGTCTGAT